TGGATTCTCTTGAGCCATTGTTCGTGCTTATGGGTAACTGTTAGGGATCAAATTGAAATCGGCCCTTTAGTTGCCTGTGTTCAATTTAAATAGTATCAGTTGCATATGTCTAGTTGGAGAAAGGTGTGGGTCCTACCTTATTGGCATTAGTGGCTTACTAATCTGGGAATGGTATTCTCTCTCTTGTGCTATTGCCCATATGTCATGCTTTGTGGTCATATACCTATTCCAGAAGTTATAAGAAATAGATGATCAGAGATGCAAAAGCAGAAGAGTAAACAAGCTGTTATTGAGCCATTAAGGATGCTTATGTCACCATTGTTTGCAACAATGTAGCAAGTATTTTGAGCATGAAAGCTGTTCATATGAGGCGTAAGCTAAGGGTAGATGAAAATTCTATTGTAAATGATTTCTTTGATTGAAGTCGCGTATTTCCATCATGATAAATGCATTAAGGCATAAGGATCATTTTTCTTTAGATCTATGTGTTGAGAGCATCACTTTTTGCTGCACAACTGGGATTCAATAATGACTCAACATTTTTTTTAGATGGGGAAGAGGTTGGAAAATTTGTGCCCCATTCTGCATATCACAGATAATTAGTTTTCTTTATTAGGTTTATTATTAACATGATTCTTCAATTAAGATTGTCTGCAATGGCCAGATTTAAACAGGCTTAGGTTGCCCTGCCTCTTGCAGCACATTGCATCGAAGATGCCTGCGATACTTTTATCAGGCTTGCTTAGGATTTGTTTGGGGAGATCAATAGATTAATTGACTTATGCTACTTGCCTATAAGAGAATTCTCAGCCTTTCTTCTGTTATAAACTGAGTATTTGTTGTATAATACGGTAATGGTTATGGCCTTGTGTAGTCTTCTAACGTTGTCTGAAAGGCAGTTAATGGCCTAAAATGAGTGGTTTCGTGGTCACATATTGAGAATGAGAAATTTGATGTTCGTTTATATTACTTATAAATCATTTTATTTCTAGATTTTTACACAGCCATATGTTTTTCCCTGCTTGTTATCTTGAACTTTAAGAGAGAGAGAGAGAATCCCACCACAGATGGATACTAAAACTGATGGTGAAATGACCGTACAAGGTCTCTTTTCATTGTTCTGTTATTGTTCTGTTATTGTTCCAAAGAGAAATTTTGGAGAATCCCGTCACATCTCACGATGGGTACTAAAATTTGTTGGTGAAATGGCAGTGCAACATCTCTCTTCATTGTTCTACATTGCCCTCGCTGAATTCTGTGTGTCCTCCCCACTTCTTTATCCTGTCTTCAGCAATGGAAGCCTGCACACAGCATCAAATTTGGCATGGATTAGTGCTTTACCAGTTCTAGTTTTAAACTTGGCACAGAGTACATCGCTCAGTGGAATTCCAAAATGCTTTTAGAAGATTGGTACTTAAAGAAATCCAATTCCATTTTTGGGGTTGAGAGAAATATATGAATTGGGCGAAACTAAAAAAGATTCGATAATCAGCAATAAGATAATTCACGAATCATCCCTTCAAATTCAATCTATGGAGTGGACAAATTATTCATTAACAGAAAAAAAAATAAAGGATCTGACTAAGAGAACAAACACAATCAAAAATCAACTAGAAGAAATTATAAAAGACAAGAAAAACGAATTTCTAACTCAAGAAATAAATATTAGTTCTAACAAAATAAGTTATCAGGATAAAATATTAGAATCATCAAAAAAAAAATTGCAAATATTATTGTAATTTTGTTGTTTATTTTTCTTACAAAAAAACTTGGAAAGAAAAAAAGTACAAAATTAAAAATTAAAAGAACAAATTATAGCTCAATGGAATTTGAATGTTACCTCTTTGTTCCAATTGGTTTTATAAATCATCCCAAAAAGGACACAAGTCTGCACAGCTGTGCCTGATATCATTCCACACCAAATTCCCTGAAAATATATTGGATACCAACCATTGCATTTACTTTACCATAAAGCCTTAAATCGACATAGAATAGGTTAGACAAGGGAAGAAAATTACCTTAACACCCATGTCGAATTTGAAACCCAATATGAGACCCAGAGGAACCCCAAAGATATAGTAACACCCAATGTTTACATAAGCAACGAAAGCTTGCCATCCAGCTCCGACGGCCACCCCTGCCCCATCCATCCCCATAAATTAATATGCCAAATTCCAATTTGTTTTCTCTACAAGAAAAAAGGAATAATAATGGCTATATTTCAAACCTGAGAGAACGGGTTGAACATTGTTAAGCGTAATGCAAAAGGCCAACAATGGCGTTAGGTCTTTGACAACTTGTTTGACTTGTGTATTCGTTGAAAATAAGTCTGGGTATTTGTCCCGAAAGATAATCAGAATGGCCGCGATGCCCAGACCGATCATAAACGAAGATATCACAGCCACTACCAATGCAAGTTTTGCTTTCCTCGGATGTCGTGCCCCCAGTTCATTTGACACTCTCACACTGTAAAAGTTTTACGCTGATAAGAAACACTTTGACCTAAACTGTTTCAATTGATTCTTGATATCTCTGGTTTCTGGAGTGTTCAGGTCGTACCTACCTTACAGCTACATTCATCCCCAGAGCAACCATGGTCGTCCAACCCAGAATGTTACAGCTGCAAATTTGGCAGCTTTGTAAGGAGAAAGGCAGGAAGAAAGAATTAAAATATAATGGATAAGGAAACGATTTTGCTCTTGTTTCTAATGCATTATAATTATTCAAGACCAAAAAAAAAAAAATGGAGCTCCGACTTTGATTAGAAATTACAGAAAATTAGTATTGACCAAAGGTTTCATGAACGAGAGCCCATTTACCTTATGAACTGAAATTCTTTTACGTACCATTAAATATAAAATCAAAAAAGTTTTGTTTCCGCATATATGGAGGAGATAATAAAGGTTCTTCAATCATGCCCAAAGGCCAATACGTATCTTTCGAAACGAGAGAGAAAGAGGGGACTATATTTTATTATTAACGCTAATCACTTGCGTCATTTTCCACCATTAAAAGAGTAAATTATTGTTGAATAATTTATAGAAAATCAGTGAAGTAAAGCTCACCATATGGACAAGGCATCTACAGAAACTTCTGCATTCTTTAAATATCCGGCAAAGAGTATTAGTGCCATAAAATACCATACTTCCAGGCTGCACAAGATGTTAACACAAAATGGAACATATCAAAACATAGATTAAGAATGTCCTAATGTGAATAAAGATTAACAAAATGCCTTGTACATGTATCAAAGAAGTAGTAAGACACAGTTAGATGGAACTACCATGTGCATATAATTTCATTATACGCTTAAAATTAAGCAGCACCAGCAGCAGTAGTAGTAATGATCTAACCATTAGGATGCGTATAGGTGGAATGCAATGTGGATATTATATATATATATAAATTTTGGTTATATACGTATAGGCATAGTGAGGGGAAGAGACTAAGATGTAATTCCGCCGCCCTAAGGTTGGTGGCTCGTCGTGACCACTAGGGCCTAGCCGGGCCAAAGCCCAAAACCATGTAAGTTATGAGAAAATTAATTAAAATAGTGCCAAATACCAATTCTTCAAGAACTACATAATAAGGAATAATATATATATATTTATTTATATTTATAATATGGATGTGGAGTATAATACGCCCAGAGAAGTAGTTTACCGAGAAGTGAGAACAATAGTTGAAAATTGAAAAAGTGTGTTACAGTAGCACAAATTCTCATTTTCTCACCAGAGCATGACGGCTGAAGCCAGAGACAACCTAACAAATCCCCACAAGTTTTGAAAAGCCTTCCATGAAAATCCGGTCCATGCGCGCCCACATGTCCCACTAATAATATACGAGAACTGAGCCGCAACTATGAAAATCCACGACGCATTTAACACCACGGCTGCACCTACCAGCCCCCACCCCAGTCTTAACATCAAGAGCCAGCTGAAAACCGTGTGCAAAACCAAGGCCGCAGCTGCAATCACGGCCATGACCATGATCTTGCTCTGTGACTGCAGAAACTTGGCGATGGGGAAATTCATGGCATAAGCGAATAACTGTGGTATCATCCATATTGCAAAAGTCCCAGCTGCCTTTGATATTTCCTCAGTCTGGCCTATCAGCTTCAAAATTTGTTCCGCGAATATGTACAAAAAGAGAAGGACCAAAGCTGTTGAGTTAAGGATGATCCATGATCTTTGCATGTAAACCCCTAGCATGTCAATCTGCCCTGCTCCAAACGCTTGACCGCATAAGGTTTCAAGCGCGCTTCCCATACCAAGCTGATTATGTTAAAGCAGTAAATATCATCAACTAAGTTGTTATATGTATCTATAATCAGAAACAATTAAACATGAAAGTCAAATTACAAATATATATATATATATATATGACTTTGTTATGGATGTACTAATATGATATATATACCATAACACCGAAGGAGAAACCGGCGATGACTGAGTTTTCAACGGAGACTGCTGCGAGGGCAAGAGTCCCAACGTGGCCGGCGAAGACTTGAGTGATGGCACCGAGGGAGTAGTTGCAGATGGAGGTGAACATGCAGCGGCCAGCTAGGTACCATAGCTTCTTGGATTCGGCAAAGCATTCTCTGAAGAAGTGGCAGACGCCGGCGATCGGAGGTATGTCTTGGGAGCCGGCGATGAAGGTTGAGGAGGTGTTATCTGCTTTTGGTTGTGGCTGTATATGCTCTTCTTGGGTGGGGGAGAGTAGCGGCTCTATTGCTTCTGCCATTTGGGAGAGAGAGAGAAGGAATTGGTTTAGCGTAATAAGTAGTTAGGCGACGTTTGGTATACATGTGTTTAATTAAATTATATTAAAATATTTATTTTAAAATAAATCAAAACAATGCTAATTACAATTTAATTATATTAAAACAAATGAATGTAACCTGATTATTTTAAAAACTAATGCAATATCGCGTACTTTGCAATTTTTATCATTTTCAAAACAATTTAAAAATTAAAAATATTTTTAAATTTTAAAAAAAATCCATAAATTTTGAAAAACATAAAAATAAGTTTTAATTATTACAAATTCTAAAATTTTTTATAAAACTAAAAATAATTTTTAATTATTAAAAAATTCTAGAGCTATAAAAATTAGAATTAATTTATATTTTTAAGAAATTATAAAAGATAAGAAACTATATAAAATAAAAAGTATATTTAAGATTTTTGAAAAAATAGAAAATAGTCTTTTATTCTCATAATTTTTAAAATTATAAAATTATTTCCTTTCTGTAATTTTTAATAAACATTTAAAAATAAAAAAATATTTCTCTTTTACTTTCAATTTTTTTCAAAAAGTCTCTTTTGTTTTTTTATTTTTTTCTAAAAAGAATTATTTTCATTTTTAATGTTTTAGGAATATTTCAAAATAATAATAATAACAATATTTAAAAATTTCAAAATTGCTAACAAATAAAAAGTTATTTTTTAATTAATATTAACATGAATTTACTCGATGCTTGGATATTTGTTGAAAATTTTATTTAAAAGATGATATCATATAAAAGTTTACAATGAAAAAAATATAAGTATATTAAACTTGTGTTTAAAAAAAGAGCTTAATGGTTGTCTTAAACAGAAAGAGATCATGGGGAGATAGAGGTCTTTATGTTAAATGGTTAAAAGCGAGATATAAGAATACAAAATTCTTCCATGGTAGCGCCTCTGAAACAAGAAAGAAGAATACAATATGGGCTCTAAATAGGATAATGATGAATGGGTGAACTCAAATGCCAAAGTGTAAAGAGAAATGGAAGATTTTTTTTTTGAATATTTTTACCTCATCTAATCTACAAATGATAAAAGAAATCTTAACCTTTGTGCAACCAAAATTCAATGATGATATGATAGCAATTTTGGATGTTGAGATTAGTTTTGATGAGGTGAAGTGTGCTATGTTCTAGATGAACCCAATAAAAGCTCTAGGTCCCGATGGCTTCCCTACTTTGTTTTACCAGAAATATTGGGATGAATTGGGTAATTGCATACATCGATTGGTGATTGATTTTTTACATTGAAGATTGGACAATTCACATATTAATCATACTCATATAGTGCTTGTTACGAAGATAAATAATTGGAAAAGGGTAAGTCATTTTCGACCTATTAGTTTAAGTAATGTGCTTTATATAATTGCATATAAAGTTTTGACTAATAGGTTGAAAACAATTATAGTTTTGTGTTGTTGATTTCTCACGCAAGTGCATGTATCGTCAATAAGTAATATAGAAAAAAGTAGAATCCGTTTCTACGGAGAATTGAATTAATCCTTACTTGCTAACTATTGAAATTAACACACTTTAATCTTATCCAAACAATTAATTTAAAATTATTAAAATAAAAATTAAAACTAATAAATTGAAACTAAAATTAAATAGTAAATTTGTTTTATAAAACTCACTTGGCTACTATACCTAAGATTATGATTTCCCTCAATACTTCATTTGAATATTGTCTCTCTTTTTTAACTTAGTTTAATAGATTAAGTTATTAACCTAGAGTCCTAAATTATTTACAAGTTTTTGTCAAGTTTTTTATAAAAATATCTCTCTCAATTAACTTAGTATATGTCTATACAAATCAAATTGGAGAAAGATTTATTAAGCTTGTGTTCTAATCCAGGCTATTTATGGCTTATAGGTATATATCTACCCTATATGCAAATCAAACCACCTAATCAATTAAGTGCATTTGATCATACGCTATTTTACTAAAAGTCTACCTAAATTTCTTTTGTCAAGGTTTAACTTAGGTTTCCAATTCAATCTAATTGGTGACCAATCAACTAGAATCATTAAGAACAGAATAGAATAAACAACTTAAAATCATCAAATACAAGCAAAAGAGAGATAAATAATTTAGACTACGTATTGATTTGAATTATAAACTTAGATAAATAATTTAGCTCTCCAACAAGTCACATTATCAAATAAAGTTTAAACATTAAAACCTAACCCAAGAAAATAAAAGAACAACAAAAAGATTAAAAAAACTCAAGAGTTGCAATCTTGATCTCTAAATCTTCTAGAATCCTTCGATTTCTTCTCAGATTCAATGAGATTTGTTCAATGATTTTGTAGCTTGAATCCTAGCTCTAAATCTTATGTTTTGTGTTTGATTGATTCGTTTAAAAGTGCTCTTCAAAGATTTTTTTTATAAGGCTTAAAGATGTAACCAAAATAGAAGTCTAAACCCACTTAAATTTTAAGTTCTACGTTGGTCAAGAAAGAAGTGTATTTGAACAAGGAAATCTTCATTAGATCATGTGTTGCTACTATGAAAAGGTTTTTGACCACCTTTCAGACCGAACTAGGTAAAATAGTGAACATGAAAGCTGTAGCTTTTTCTCTTAATTTTCCAATGACCTAAGAATCACTTCATTTGGAGTTTTGTAAAAAGAGTTATGGTCGAAATACTGAGACATGCAGTCAAAGTCTGTAACTTTTAAATTCTCTCCTATGCCCATTAAAAGTCCTTCAATTAAAAGTGTTTCTTATTAAACACCTACAAAAGTATAAATAAATCAATAATAACTTATCTTAGGCATATTAACACCAATTTAAGCACAAATTTAACTAAGATTAGATTGACCCACCTAATTAATTAACTTAAAATAATTAGATAAAACTTATTAATTAATATGAATTACTATAAGAACTAAGCTAAATTATAATCAAAATTAAGTCCAAATAACTCTATATCATAGAGTTATCACACCCTCTAACTTAAGATTTTATTAGTCATCGAGAAAACCATAGAAAAGAAACTAATGAAAATCAATTTAAGTAGTGAAAACAAAATAGATAAAGCAACTATTAGAGATAAAGTGCACCAGCTTAATGATCTTCTGTAATTTTCTCAAAAGTATATCTATCAACTTCTAACGTAAGAAAAAATGTAGGCATAATTTAAATTTATGTTTCAATTCCAATGCAAGCATATTCTCGAATGGATTTCCATGTAAGTGTGTAAAATCTTTTATCAAGAATATCATGATATTTGGATTAGTTTATGCCAATCAAAATTTCAAATTAGTACTAAAATTTCATAGGTTTATTTTTTATCTCTTTCTCCATTACTGTAGACTAATATAAAGCTAGGAAATAATAGGACTTTATAAAGCTTGTAATGTATGGCTAGAGTCAAAGTAGGATAAAGGATATAATGTGGTTCAAATCACCTAAACACATTATTATTCAAAGACTTATATAGAGCTCTATTTTCCTTCTCCACATACACCTTTTCTTCCACACTTCTGAACTTTTCTTTTTATCTCAACACTTTATTGTACTTTTTCTTGTCTTTTTTTTTTGGTTTTTCAATTTCACAATTTTACACTTCCAAACTTATTTTTCTTTGTATTGTAAGTAGTGGATTGATTTTCAATATTTTGAATTTTTTTTAGCAACTCCACCTTTCTACCTTTTTCAACATTTAGCTTAATCTATTTTTGCTGAAACAATATAAATGCTTAAGAATGAGGGTTGCAAAATTAGAAATTTTATTTTAAGGTTAGGCTAAATTATTATGTGGTTAAACAAAGAAAAGAGAAATTAGGTTCAATAGGGTATACTAGGGATAAAAATATATCAAAGTTAGCATGAAAAGCTTAAATGGTTCAAAAATAGTCTAATCATATCCCTAACTAAATATTGCATAGGATTTCACCTCGAGAGAGAATCAAGCAAATTTTAGAATTCATAACATAATTCAAAATTTTATATCAACATAAACCTTCTCTAAATATTCACCACAATTTAAAACAAAAGATAAAGTGCTCAAAATTGTATAAATCACATCCTAACAATGATACGAAACAAAAGAATTTAGCATGAACTAAACAATATCCTTACTCATCAAAGGTTAAATATTTAAGATGGCTAGTTATCATCATTGGATAAGGAGATCATCGAAAAATTTGGTACAACTCTGCTTTAGATTTCTAAAAATTCAAGCAAGCATAAAAAATAAATTCAACTAATCCTACAAATAAATTTATATGATTAACTAATCCTAATTACTTAAAGTCTAAATAAACTTGAAAATAAAATTAAATTTAAAACTTCCACAGAATATTCACCAACAGAAAAATAACTTCACCCCCCCAAACTTAAATTAAACATTGTCCTCAATGTTAGAAAAAATAAAGGAAAGATAAAAGAATACTCCCCTAGTAGTTGGATGAATCCAGAAAAGCTTTAATCATCCTATTTTTTCTTATCGTTAACTTCCTCATTGTCACTTATAGGAGGATTTTTTTTGAAATAAATAAATAAACAGAGATTAATGTAGAAAAATAATAAAAAAATAAAAAAAAACTGAAAAGAAAGAAAAAAAAAGAGTTTCAAAAGCTTCAGTTGCCTATCAAGTAGTACTTCTTTATAGTTAATAGCTTGACTTTTGTTGAGGTCTTCCTTCACCCTTTAAGGAAGTTTGAGTTGACATGGAAAAAACTTGAGGTGCGAGAGTAGTCACATCCTAAGATGAGGTTGTAGTAGTTTTAACTTAAGATTTGGTACTTACTCAACCTAAGGTAGTGGAATAAGCTGACTTTGACCTAACTTCTCAAATTGAGTTCTTGAATAATGCACTTTTTGTAGAGCCTTCAAAACACATGTAACATTTGTGAGTTTTTCATTCTTATCCTTTGTTGTTGCATCATGAACCAAACAAGCTTCAAAAAGTTTCTTTGGATTTTCCATATCAATAGTCCCCTTAGGTAAC